TATATATATATATATATAGTTTTGCTGTTTTAAGCAACATTATTATCATTGAGTTCTTAGTTAATGGGTTCTCATTCCCTGTGGTATTTTTGGCTTTGACTCATTGCTCATGTTTCGTTATTAATTTTGTTTCACTTGAGAAATGAAAAATGTCTTTCTGGAAGCATGTAATTTTCCTTACCTCAGTAAATGAAGTTAAATGAAGTCATAGCTTTTTAATGGAAGGTTTGAATCACAGCGATTAAGTTTGATTCTCGGCTGTCAGAAAACTATAGGGAATCGCAAAAAATGAATTTAGCCCTCAACTTGAAGGATTATCAGAATGGAATTAGGTAGCTCTTGTGTTTACTTTTGCCAGGTGTTTCATGCTTTTAGGTCCCTGTGTTTCTCCTAACATTGTTTTACCTGCAAGTCCCACGATTTCTACTATGAAGTTTAACTTGTTCATATTCCCATCTTGTTTTCTGCTGTTGTGCAGAACTTGTCAATCCATTGTGACAGATTGAGTTTTTCTCACCCTTTCTTTTCCCTTTTTTCCTTGTTGGCAGAGCAGGGGTGGGATGGGTTTTTATTTTGCCTGAGAGTAATAATGCTTTTATTACCTTCTGTCTTATATAAGTTGTTTTCTGAACCTCAGTTTACCATGGAATTGGTTGGCGCAGAAATTGGAGATGTACCCAAGCGTTATTCCATGGACATGTCAAAAGACCTTGTTCCAATGTCTGTGTTTTCTGAGTCATCCCAAGGTAAGCATATTTCATTCCAGCATACACTAGGCTTATACTTCACTTGGCATGGATGAAGTGCTTCTCCAAGTAAGTTTGTCATTTGTATTTACCTGATATCTATTTCTGAGATATTTTTTATCTAGTTTTGCTCCATACTCTTTATGTGGAAGTGGGGATGTTTTAATTCCACTGTTATTAATGGGGTAATTGTGGTGCTGTGATGTGTTGTCTTTCTAGTAAATGAAACATAGGCTGCTGGCCAGTAAGGGTAAAGTTGAAATCCTAACATGGTCTACAGTATACATTGAGAAGAAGCCTCCAATCTCCTATTTCCTCTAAGAGGAGAAAACAAAGGGTCAGCTGCCCAGAAACCATTGTCCTTGACACAGACTTGGATGTATCGACCACTAACAGTGTCATGCCAACTCATCACTCTTACCAACTACGAAGGATTATTGTTTTGGACTTACACCATTTCTATTATGACTATGTAATGTTAAAAGAACATTCTTGCAGGACTCTTGATGTACTGCTTATGCATAAAATCTGAGTGATACACCATTCTATTGGCTTATTTGCAGACTAGATTCTGAAATTGTGTCATACTATTAACTGTTTGACATTAAACTGAATTAAAGTGGATTCAAACAAGAAACCTGAATATTGTACAGGTTCAAGTTGCCAACTTGAGACACTTCTATTTTTAAATATTTGCTCTGCATGCATATATTATTAGTTCACATAACTGAGAATCTTTTGAATCTTCAATAGATCATAGGTTTGACCTGTTAATACACAAAACTTGTGCTTGAAGATTTGGCCAATAATTTACTGCTGCTTCAATAAAGATCTGGTTAGCGAGTGAAGATATCTAGAATTTTCTATTATTAACTCAGGATGGAGATTTCTAACAATGAGAAACATTGTTGCTCTCATGTTTATGAATTCATCTTGTCTTGCAGGAAAGCTTTCTGTTGAGGGAAAAATACTAAACAAGTTTGACATGAGACCTCATGATGAAAACATTGAGAACTATGGGAAACTCTGCCGTGAAAGGACTAATAAATATATGACCAAATCGAGACAGATACAGGTCCTTGTAATTACTTTGTATATTTATGTCCATGCTTCCTATATGGGTTTTTTTTTTTTTTTTTGGCCTTATTATTTCCCCCACATTCCACATTCCTTAACTTTTCCGCTAATTTTCCCCTTATTCTACATTTTAGGTCATTGATAATGATAACGGGACTCACATGAGGCCTATGCCAGGGATGATGATTGCTACTGTATTCAATGTACATATGATTACTTTCATTTCATGTAAAATTTTCTCAAGTGAATATTATGTTTTTCACTGATTTCTTTTCCTGGGGACCCTGTTTCTTTTTGCTCTCATATATGCAATCAGAATATATTTATAATCTGTCCGCCATTTGTATGAGGAGAGCTGATGTGTTTGCAATAGGAAAAGAAGAAGACACCTACCAAGACATCAGAGACGAAACGAACACGGAGGGATCGTGGAGAGATGGAAGATATTATGTTTAAGCTCTTTGAAAGGCGACCGAATTGGACTTTAAGACAACTGATTCAAGAGACAGACCAACCTGAAGTATGTTTCTTAATCAATTATTCCTACTTAGTGCTTATTGGTAACTTTGAGAACCTTAATGCTATACCTATCAATTAGCTAAGCCTGTTTTTAAATTAAAAAGGGTTTGGACAAATGGTTCAGAAGATATAGTGATTAAAAAAAATGGTGCTAAAGACATTACATTAAAAATGAATATAGTCTAGGGAAGAATAACGAACATAAAATTATTTCCTTATTCTAGCAGGGATAGACATCTGATTGAGAAAATGCTGATTGATAACTCTCATGTATATAATCAAACAGAGAGAAGATCACATCTATGGGGTCTGTTTAGCCATGGACAAAGAGTAGAAAAGTGAAAACATCAAATAAGGTTAAAAAAAATCAGACCTTGTAAAATAAAGGTGATTTCATTAGATTAAGAGTTAATCCATAAAAATTTTTTCTAGGATTAAATAAAGATCTGATGTTCTAGACATTAAGGTACAACTGCTATAAACTGATTGCTTGAAATTTTTTAAGATATGTGCTACCTGGATTGTCACTCTGCAAACTTAAAATTCAGCGAATCAGGTTATGGCATACTTTCTTCCACCAATTATGGTATTTGAAAGATGAACTGTTGTTGACTCTAAGCATACATGCCACAATCTTGACCTCTGTTGGCTATACAAACTATCTAGTTTTATTTATTGCCTTTGGGCCAAAAGTTGACAGTTTTCTGATTCTTCTTTGAACTCTCTCTGAAGCAATTCCTGAAAGATATACTTAAAGACCTCTGCATCTACAACAACAAGGGAACTAATCAAGGATCATATGAGCTGAAGCCAGAATACAAGAAAGCAAGCGACGATAGTAACCCTTAAGTAAGTTTCCCATGCTGATCAGCTACTTTAGAAAGAGTATCATCAGCTGATTTTTATTTGCCTTTTGCTTGTTCCTAAACTACTCCCTTGATGCCTTCTTTTCAAACAGAATTGAGTATTTTTCTCCAATTCTTCAATGCCAGTGAAGAGTCAAGAAGTAACCACAGAGCATTTGATTCTCCTTTTTAGTACATGGTTCCCACAGAGCAAAGTAAATGATGCCATTCTTTGTCATTTCCCCAACTTGGCTCAAGCATTTTAGAGTCCTATTTGCAGTTTGGAATTTTATCTTTTCATCATGAGATAGATCATTGATTTGTTCTATGCTTTGATGTAAATATGTGAAAATTTTTAACTCTGTTTTGTCCTTTTGATGGAATGCTAAACATTTTTCAGATGATTGAGGATAAGATGTGTGGGTGATTTTATTTTTCTTGGGTAAAGAGATCATTAATATCTTCATCATTGGGCAATGGCATTGACTCTGTTCAAGATTGAAGGTAACTGAAGAATACCAATCAAAATAAATGATTTGTTAAACTGAATTTGGTATTTCATTTTTGATAGTCATACTCCATTTTAGATGCAGTAGAGATTGAGATGGAAGGAAGAAGAGGGAGGAGGTGGACCTTATCTTTCCCATACCTATTCCTAACTTTAGAATAGGTCAGGTTTTGGGTGAACCAAAAGGTACCTAACCATCCTTTACATATGAGATAGGAGCAAGACAAAACACTGATGATAACAACAAAGCTGTCTTTTCTTTTAAAGGAAATGGGTGACTTCTTTACCTGTTATGCTTCTATTTATAAAAATAAAAAATAAAATAAAAAGAATTTTGTATTTAATTTATTTTTTAAAAAAATAAATTCTCTCCCAAAATGAAATTTAGAATTCCTGTCTCACCAACATTATTCTTAAATGCCCCGATGGCCACTTCATGTGAAATGTTGACTTTGTTATATCAAAGATCTTTGTCTGACTTTCTCATTATTATTTTTTTTTCAAAGAAAACAATTTTTCCAATTTAATCAAAATAAAAACATTGAATTTCTTTGTTCTCAGACAATGTGGAAAAGTCTTTGTTTATGGACAATTTCCAAATGATGAGATATAGAATATCAAATTCAAAACTCAATTAAGTTCTTATATATATAAATGCACTAGTGAAAATGCCATGTCATTGGTATAGAAGTTTAGTTATAAAAATTTATTTAATTTAAAAAATATATAAAAATTTGATTCAATATAATAAAAAATAAAAATTTATAATAAATTTTTTAAATAATTTAAAAAAAAATTCGTATAATGCTTCGTTGATGTATAAATGTATTAGTGAAAATGATTATATTATAAAATATAATGGAAGTTGGATTTCGCCTCAAAAAGAATAACTCTGAATTATTTATAAAAGAAAAATGACAAAAACATGGGGAAAGGAAATCTTCAAAATGAAACGTGCACGCTGCTTCCCCTCGCCTTCGTTTTAGTTATTTATCAAATATTCACTTAATTTTAAAAATATATTTCCTTTTCTACCATTTTCAACTTTTTGCCTGTGCACCTTTCCATAGTATTTTATGGGAAAAAGAAAAAAAAAAGGAAAATTCGGATATATTAATAAATTAATTTCCGAAATGGGCACTGCCAACTATCAACTATGGCTGCCACACGCAAATGTTGACCCGAAAAATGGCAAACTCCCACCAATGTGGCGTCTTCTTACCACATCCACCCTTCACCCAAAAGGCGTGTGCTCACCACGGCGTCGTTTCCTCTCTCTCTCTCTCTCTCTTTCTCTTTCTCTTTCTCTTTCTGTCTTGACGAATTATTATGGTATTACTATT